TCATTTTAACTTGTAAAGACCCTACATCCAAATAAGGTTACATTCTGCTACTAGGGGTTAGGACTTTAAAATATCTTTTATTGGTGAATGACAGAATTTTACTGAAAAATTAATAGGATTTGATTAATTGAATTAATATCGTGTAGGAGGTCAGGAAGGAGAACGATCAAAGGTAGATCTTGAATTTTCGTGCTTAACTGAGTGAATGCTGGTACTGTTAGAAGGAATAGGAAAGTAGGGGGGAAAGGGAAAGACATTTTCTAGACAAGGTGAGGGCAGAGGGAAATGAGTTTTGTTGTAAGCAGAATTTGGAATTGTATGAGATAGTCAAATCAGTTCATGATCTAGTCAGAGTTCAGGGAAGAGTTTGCATGGTAGGTAATAGCTTTGCTTTGAGAATGTTTTGATTCTCGAGGGAGAGAGGATAGACAGAGGAGAGCTAAGTCTGAAAAGAAAGCTAAAGAGAGAGAGTTACTTTTGTTGAAATGGATGCCTTCATCCATTATAGAAAAAAATAGTCTGAAGAAATGATCTATCCCTTTACTCTGTCAATTCTGGTAACGTCTGGATAGTGGATTTAGTAGCCGAAGTGGTCGCTGCATGAACAGAAGTAGAGTTACCAGTTCCTGACAGCTGTGAGTCAGCCTCTGGGCATCTTGCTAAATTTTCAAATATAATTATACAGTAGACTTCCTTTAACAAATTCTGTGTTCCCAGCTATAATTATAACTGCTTTTCTTGCCTGTAGCCTGTTCTTTGTCTTACTACTCTACTCCTTATCTCCCCCTGCTGGTTAGAATTATCCTCTGGTCATTTGGGATCCAGAAAATAAGAAGCTTGTTTAGTGAGATTTTCTTTCCTCAGCATAGATTTACCAGTGCACTTCTTTCAACTCTAGTCCCAAATACATTCCCAGTAATGAGAAGTAATTCTTTAAAGCACACACTAGCAATATTCTATATTAAAGTAATTTTTATTTTCAAAGAATATGGAAATATAAATTAGGTACATTGTAGGCTCTCTATGCAGCTATCAGAAAATGACCACCACAACTTATCCAATGATCCACGTAATAGTTAAGACTCTAAAATCTTGCTCATGGCCATGGTTTAGACTAAGTTTTTGTATTTTTAGTAAGTTAAGGTTTATAATCAACAATGAAGTCATCATAAATCCTGCAACCATAATCCTCCAATAGTTTTCAGGACTCATTATGACAGTAATTTGTAAGATCAGAAATATGAGTGGGATTTCCTGTTTTCTCATATATTTTTACCACCCAAATAACCATTATGAAAATCACTTTAAAAAATGGCCTGAGGTCCTTTACAAATATATTGTAGTTTTGGGGTGATAAACTTCAAGAATATATTTTTGTGTCACATAGATTATACTCTAATTTTAATGTTTCTTAAAAAAGAACTTAAATGTATAGATTTCTGAATGTGCAGGAGAAAAGGTATGCTTGACATTTTAGCCTGCCATGCAAGTAGTCCAAAAGGAATTATGAACTTGTGACAATAATACATTGTATATGTAGTTTTCATCACTATCTTATTGATTAAGGGTATTTGTTATGTGGCAGGCACTGTACTAGTTGCTAGTACTCTGACATTTTAGTTTGAAGAACTAGATTTTAAAAGTTTCCTTAAAATGCTTAAAATATGCTTAGGAATAAACAGAGTATTCAGTTGCCTATTAAAATAATTTTGTGTATTCTGGGTAGCTTTAAATATTAAAAAGTGGGACTTCCCTTACACAATAATTGGTTGACACTTTTTGACCTCATTGTAAGACTGCAGAATTTAATGAACAAATAAGGAAAAGAAAGTTTTGATAAATAAGGCATTTTCTTGATACATTTAGAAGTGAGCTTTGAAGCCTTTTAGCATTAGATTGACAGGTTTACTTTTTGTGAAAGAGATAATATTTCATGTTTTCAGGTCCTCATGCTGTTATAGGACTGATAGAGTCTTGTAAAGCAGGGATTTGGAATTCACTGTTCTAAGAGATCTCTCTTACCAGTATAGTTTTATGCTCATGTGGCAAGGTTTCAGGTTGAGGAATGAGATTAGATTTGCAGGGGCAGAATTTTTGCTGTCCTTGTTGTTTTGGTTCCCAAGGAATGCTTACCCATTAGCCTCAAATGTGCTGTGGTATTAGCTACTTTAAAATAGATTTCTCAAGACTCTTTATTTGGAAAACCTTAAATATGCATCGTGATGCATTACTTGCAATAAAAAATGAGGCTACAATTATATAGAACAAAACACTACAGCTGCTGACAGATGTCATTAACAACTTACTCAAACACAGATCTTTCTAAAAGGAACTGGTAGGCATCTGAGTCAGAAAGTTAAGGTCATTGTAGCTCAAGGAGACATTCTGTTGTCCAGGACATTTATTGTTTTTTGTTTTTGTGGCCATAGTCTTTTAAAAATGTATTGGGACCTTGGTATTTGATATAGTTTTAAAACTTTCTTCTGAATTACAATTAATAAATGTAGAAGGAATGAGGGAAATAGCAAGTCACCACAAGGCAAATATTACATTAATTGTGGTAGGCAAGATCCATTAATGGATGCCAAAATAGGATGCAAGTTTGAAGAGAAATAGCCTATTTGCATAGTCTAAAAGTATCCCCCTAAGATGTTTAATAATTTAAAAGGGAAATATAGTAACTTTACAGAAGAAAAAGTGGCAGACACTGAGTGATTTAGATTAGCATCACCAGTTAGACTACATATTAATGAGATATGATGTGATCCATTGAAGACAGCACAATATCACTGATGTGATATTATTGCCAAAAATGTATAACTTAAGTGAAATTATGAGACAACATTAGGCAAACCCAAATTGAGGTGCATTTTGCAAAATAACTGTTGAGTACTGTTCAAATATATCAGGGTCATGAAAGACAAGGAATGTCACTGATTGGAAAAGACTAGGGAGACATGACAACTAAAGGCAATGTGGGATCCTGGGTAAGATCCTAGAATAGAAAAAAGTTGGAAAAATAGAAAAAAAAAGGCAGAAAAAATAACATTAGCGGGCAACTGGAAAAATGAGTAAGGTGTGTAATTCAGTTAATAGTACTGAACCAGTGTTACTTGTATGGCTTTGATAACTGTAGTATAGGTACATATAATGTTGACAGTAGGAGAACCTGGTGAATGCTATGTGGGAACTCTCCTACTTTTGGAACTTTTCTGTAAGCATAAAATTATTTCAAAGTAAAAAGTTTTAAAGAGCTAATTCTTCTGGAATCTAATATAGTGCTCTCAAATTTACCCAAGATACATAAAGTTATTGCTCTACCACAGTGAAGTGGCTTTGGTTTTGGAAATAATAATTATTTAGACAAAGTTCAGGGTAGATTCCTGGTGCAACATATTTTGCTCAGTACTTTGTTGCTGACCACCATCTGTTATCTCATTTCCTCTAATCATCTTTTTTTATTTTTTTTTAAATATGCTTTTATTGATTTTAGAGGAAGGAAGGGAGAAGGATAGAGAGATAGAAATATCAATGAGAGAGAAACATCGATATGCTGCCTCCTGAACACCCCCTACTTGGTTCATGGGTCGATGCTCAACCACTGAGCCACACCGGCTGGGCTCCTCTAATCATCTTTTCAAAACAAATGTTGAGACCCAATTTGTCTAAGTTGTTAATTGGCCTCTTGACTAGTATATGGAAGTATTTCAAGATTAGAAATGAATGATATCCTTCACTAGGAAAGGAGAAAGAGGGTCAAATATATGGTGATGGGAGAAGATTTGACTTTGGGTAGTGTACATATATATATAATGCAATGCAATGTACATATAATGTATCATATAAAATTGTATACTTGAAACCTGTATAATTTTATTAATCAATGTCACTCCAGTAACTTTAATAAAACAAAAGAAATGGATGATATCCAGAAGTGACATAAAAAATGAATAAATAGCAGTTATCTGAGGATGTGTTCCATCATGATTTTACAAAAATGTGGCCATGTTTCCAAGATGTAAAAGATATATATAATACAGTGTTCCAAAAATTTGTCCTTTTTCATACAAATTGCATTTGAGATAGGTTTCAGCTGTGAAGAAGTCTCTGGGAAGAAGTAGGTCATGGAATAAACTTTTCGTTCTATAATGTGAAATACACAGCAGGTCACTTATCCATTTGAGATTAGAGTTACATACATAGCCTTTCTAAATAAAAATCTATAATACTACTGTCTGAACATGGAAAGCTATTAGTTATCCTTACATAGAGGTTTATGCTTTATTGTTGCAAATACCACTACCAACTAAACTTAATGAGGTTAGTGGCTCTGTTATTTAAAAAAATCCACAGTATTCCATCTAGAATAGTGCTGGTGATAAATCAGTATTTAATGAACGAACACTGAAGACTATGTAAGGTAGATTTCTATATTAATGTAAAATTCGGATGTCTACAGTAATGCAAATTAGGGCTGAACATTTTGAATCCAAGTCATTTCAGAGAATCAACTCCTTTCTATTAAGTCTGCATTTGCTTTTAAGGGGGTCTCAAATTCCATAGTTGATAATTTAATGATACTATGAATATTTCTGTACCTGGGTTTGTTTTGTTTCAGCAACAGTGTGGATTCTGGTGATGGCAGGGCATACATAGCCCATGGAAAGTTCCTTAGAGAGTTGACAGTTGTTTTGCCTGAGAAGTTGAAATCAGGGGAGTAGAGAGAGTGAATAAAGAATTCTGTTTCTGGAATATAATTCTTAACAATCTTGTAAAACTTATTCTAGCCAGAAAATATTTCCAAAACAGTTATTAGTATTATTTACATCGTAAGGAGAATTTAATGGCATAGTCAACTTGTATCATTAGACAGCTTAAAACATACTCTTTGGAGTAATAATATATGAATATATTTACTGGAATATACACACTGAAATTAATAACTTCTGCTTTGTTAATAAATTCCTAATTTTACATTGTTAAATTATTTGTTTTTACAGACCTCATCAACCCCTTTGACCCAAAGGTAAACTTTAAAAATGTCATTTTTAATTTTTTTTTTTTACTGCTTTAATAGCTGATTCCTCTTTCTCCATCACGGTACATTATGTTTAATCCTAATGCTTCCTTTCATAGTCATGTATAAAAGGTAATGAATTTCCTTCAAAAACTAGGTTTGGTTAGCCTACTTTAAACTCTTTGGAGGAGTGATCATGTGCACTTTGCTTGTGGACGAGGGAAGGGTTAATTTTTTTTCCGCATTTAAGTACTATAGTATGCCCATAGGAAACTAAAATTGCTTTAAGTCTCATTTAATCTTTTACAATTTTTATTATTCTAAAGGAACCAAGGCAGTATTTATAATTTTTACTTGTTTTCTATGAGGAATATATAGGCTTTATATTAAAATATGTGCTTTAATGTAAGATACAAACCTTCCCTTTGGTTTTAAACAGGGCAGATTGGAAAGAAAGTTGATGGGGGTTTGGGTTCTAGCTCTGCCAGATACTCTGTGACTTTGAACAAGTGAATTTATCTTTCTGAATCTTCTTTATTGTCATCTATGAAATTCTGAAGTTAAGACTAACTTTCTACCATGGTTTATAAGGGTTACATTAACTAAACATGGTAATGTATATGATAGCACTAGGGCAAGTTGCTTAAATCCATCAAATCCGCTGTGAACAGTGGCTCCTGGAGGTGTGCTGAGCACTGTGCCTAGAACACAGTCCTCACACTCAGCTAATTGGCTCTGATTTTCTGATGAGAAAATGCCTGTGAAAGGATGTTGTGAGTTGTAATATTGGAAGAATAGAAATATAAAAAATGCTTAATTGTTTTAAAGATAGTCAACTAAATTGATGCAGTTTTATAGAATTTTTATATCACAAACCCACAATTTGTACAAAATAACTCATTAATTATTACGCAATAATTAATAACATGATTTTGAAACAATAAAAAAGGCAGTAGTATATTATCCTATTGTTAAGCAACAGATTTTGGGCTCTTTCAAATTATTTCTTTGTGTTCTTTTTTTGTTTGTTTGCAGGGGAAAAGTCATAGTCTGCATTTATAATCAGGACTAGCTTCCTGTAAAATTATTTATTTTAACTTTTTATTTATAGATTTTGAAATTTACAATTCTAAATGCAGCAATAGTAAGGCGCTGCATTTTTGCAGGAAACAAAAAGTACAATTAACGTAAAGTCAGAGCCAGCCACAAATAAAATATTCCAGCAAACTGTGTAAGGAAAAAAACTGCTCTGGGAAGCAGATGCCAAGAAATGTTGCAAAGGTGGTTTTATTACATTGGAAAGAAAAGAATACCGAAGGATTAATAGTAACAGCAGTAGCAGCAGTAATAGTAGTAGCAGTAGTAGTAGTAGGATGAGGAGGAACTGGAGGATGGAGAGGGAGAGGTGGATAGCAAATAATATTGAATGAGCACTTCCTAAGTCTTAGGCACTGTTTAAGTACTTTATGCAGATTTTCTTCCTTATTAATATAGTATGCACATAGACATGTAGGAATGATTAGGAATATGTTCCATATTGAAAAAAATATTACTTTTATGTTAATAAGTACTGTAATTGAAGTTATATATGTATATATATAACTGTGTATGTAATCACACACATATATATTATTATATACAAGTGTTATGTGCATATATATTAATATATATAAAACTAGAAAATGGAACCTTCATATCAGAATACGTTTTATCTTCATTCAATAAAAAATTCTGATTTGTAATAATATTTTTTATTTACTTGAGAAAGTGACTTGCTATAAAAAGATATGTTTATGGTGTACGATTCTTGATATTACCCTGGGAAATATTTTTGTTGTTGTTATCTGTGACTTGGATGAGAAAATGCGTTTACTAGTTGTAGGTGATATTAAATATTAATGATTAATCTCAGTTTCTTTACTAGAATTATTTTAGAGTTACCAGAGGGTTCTGTTGCTTGATGTTTAGTTGAATATTAAGATGGTTGGAAAATATTTAGTTAAATCTGGTTTGCAGTTTTTTCGTGTTTTAACTAATAATAAAACAGTTATGTTTACTTATGTTCATTTTTAACTGGGAAAATTAGGTGAGTTGATAGTTTCATTATATTTTTATTTCTAAAATGGAAATGGTTTTAAAAATCATACATGGAAGCCAGTCAGAAAAGGTGGTATATTATATGATTCATTTTTAATGAAATGTCTAGAATGGGAAAATCTGTAGAGACAGAACATTGATTAGGGGTTGCCTAGAGCAGGGGTGGGAGAGATGATGGTAGGGAAAGAAGGAGAGTGACTGCTAATGGGTGTGGGATAAAAATGTTCTAAAGTTGATTGTGGTGATGCTTGCACAACTCTCTGTATAAATTAAAATCTTGAATTATATACTTGAAGTGGGTGAATTGTGTGGTATGTGCATCATATCTCAATAAAGCTATTAAAAACATGATACATGACCCTTTGTAGAAAATACCAATAGTACATAAAAGGTAAAGAAGAAAATAAGATATACTCCAAATTCCAACTGTTCCTGTGTGTCAATCGAGAGGAACAACCTTATTTTAAATAACTACTCAATCAATTTCATTGTGTGGATACACCATAATTTGTTTAATTAATTTCCTAAGGATGGGCATTTTATTGTTTTCCATTAAGTAAAGTTGCAAATAAGATCATTGCATGTGTATTTTTGTGCAATTACCTTTTCAGGATAAAGTCTAGAAGTAAAATGTTGGGTCAAAGATTATAAGGACATTTAAATTTTTGATTCATATTTTAAAATTGCCCTTTATTAAAATGTTCCAGTTTGTGCTTCCCCAGTGGTATATGATAGTGTCTGAATCAACATACTCTTGCTAGTGTTGGATCTTGTCAGTATTTTTAATCTGTGCCAATTAGAGGAAAGTAAAGCTTTTTTATTTACTTTTTTTTGTGTGTGTATAACCTGTTATATGTCCTTTAAATTTTTAAAATATTTGTTTTTCTTCTTTGTTTCTCTGTTGGGATAACAATCCCCCCTCCTTTTTTTTTTTTTTTTTTTTTTTTTGCTTTGATGTGTAGAATCTTTTTCTATTAATAATATTTACTTTTTGTCTATTAAATAGAATGAAAATATTTTTTCACTGTTTATTTTTATACTGTGCAGAAGTTTTGAATTTTGTGTAGTTATATTTATTACCTAAAAATAGCTTTAGTAACTTTGCTACATTCCAGGATTATAAAAATATTACCATATTTAAAATTACTTTAATGATTTTATTTCTTACTAGAGGCCCCATGCAAGAATTTGTGCACCATTGGGGTCCCTCGGCCAGGCCTGTGGGATCAAGCTGAAACTGGCTCTCCGACATCCCCCGAGGAGTCCCGGATTGCGAGAGGGCTAGGCCAGGCCAGGGCAACCCACTGGTGCACAATTGGGCCCGGAAAGACGCGGGAGGTTGACCAGCCAGGGAGGGACCACAGGAGGGCTCCAGGGTGTGTCCGGCCCATTTTGCTCAGTCCTGATTGGCCGGACCCCAGCAGCAAGCTCACCTATTGGTTGGAGTGTCTGCCCCCTGGTGGTCAGTGCACGTCATAGCGAGAGGTTGAGCAGCCTTAGCGTATCATTAGCATATTACACTTTGATTGGTTGATTGGATGACTGAAAGACTGGACACTTAGCATATTAGGCTTTTATTATATAGGAAGGACTAGAGGCCTGGTGCACAAATTTGTGCACGGGTGGGGTCCCTCGGCCTGGCTAGTGATTGGGGCGATCTGCAGGGCAACTGGTGGGGCGATCGGGAGGCCCCTGCTGGCACCCACCTAGGCTGGCCTGGCGCCACCTGCTCGCCGGCCCAGCCCCCCACTGCCGTCACCAGTCACCTCCCTCTGCGGGGTGCCTGGTGGGGCGATTGGAGGGGCCCCCACTGGCACCCATCTTGGCTGGCCTGGCACTGCCCGCTTGCTGGCCCTGCCCCCTGCCACCAACACTGGGGGCAGCTCCTGCGTTGAGCGTCTGCCCCCGGTGGTCAGTATGCATCATAGCAACCAGTTGTTCTGCTGGTTGGTTGATTTGTATATTAGGCTTTTATTATATATGATGTTTAATTTTTGATTCATTTGGCATTTATTTAGTACTAGAGGCCTGGTGAACAAAATTTTTGCATAGGTAGGGTCCCTAGGCTTGGTTGGCGATCGGGCCAATCAGGTTCCCTGTCTCCCCACCTCCTCCTTCCCTCGCCACCCATGCACCACCAATGTGTGATTTCCCCCACCTCCCCGCTACCCCAACTCCTTCCCTCGCCACCCGTGCACCGCCACCGCATGGTTCCCCCCGCCTCCCCGCCTCCTCCTTCCCTCGCCCCCCTGAGTGCCACCACCACGTGGCTCCCCCCGCCCCCCCGCCTCCCTCAGTCGCCATGCACACTGCCACCGCATGGTTCCCCCCGCCTCTCTGCCTCCTTCCCTCGCCACGCACACCGCCACCGCATGGTTCCCCCGCCTCCCCGCCTCTTCCTTCCCTCGCCCCCCTGAGTGCCACCACCACGTGGTTCCCCCCGCCTCTTTCCCTCGCCATATGCGCCGCCATCACGTGGTTCCCCCCCGCCCCCCCGCCTCCTCGCCTCCTCCTTTCCTTGCTCCCTCAGTGCCCCACCTCTGCTGCTGGTTGCCCACCACGTTCTCTACCGCACCCTGGTGGTCAGCACACATCATAGGGAGTGATCAAACTCACAGTCAAACTCCCAAGGGGACACTTTGCATATTAACCTTTTATATATATAGATAAGAAATGACTAAGAGATCCACTTCACCCTACTTGGACGAATTTTTATTATTAGCAAGTGCTAAATTATCACATATCCTTGAGCATGTCATTTTAGTCTGGTTCTATTGGTAAATCTATTCTTACTCCACTACTACACTCTTTTAATGATTATATTGTAATTTTAAATAATATATTTTAATACCTGGTAGAATAATTCCTAATAAACTAAGAGTTTGAATTCTATATTGGATAAAATGATTCTG